ACAGTGCACCCTGGCCACACACTTTCTTCAATTCCCTGGCAGAAAACCCTGAAGATGGCTGGACAGCAGGGATCAACATGTTTCTTGAGCTTTTATCAGTTGCGAGAATTTTTAACAGAATACTTACGATACTGCTCATCACAGTACTCTGCTGCCCCAATTTCATAGGAGAATGCATTAAAACTAATTGAAAAACAGCCAATTCCAGTATGTTCATCTATAGTCAAAATGTAGGATGAGTGATTTAGAATTCATAAAATGTCAATCATGTTACCATGGTAACCAGGAAACTTAAAGTTCAGGTGTAATTTTTATCATTCATAATTAATTTAGGTAGGCCAAAAAGTAAATCACTCATCCTACAGATATAAATACAAGGAACATCTGCTGAAAAAATGAGGGCAATAGCTCAAAACCTCTTGCAAATATTAGCCGGGGCAGCTCCCTTGTCATGAAAAACACTAGTTCTGAAAAATTCAAGTTAAAAGTTTCAAAAGTCAAAGTACAAAATTTTTTCATCAACATCATTAGAAACACAGTAGTTTCTGATAAGATGCTGTTTTAAGAAGTAAATACAAACAAAACTGTGATATGTGAGTCATTCACATGTCCATTTGCTGCATTAGAAGGCACCAGCCTCATATGTGGTCCCTTCCCCCTGAATACGAGCTGCCTCAATCCTCACAGCGACCCTCTTTGTAGCTTGTCTTTTTCTTTTGAATAGCTCTGATGATCTTTTTTCAGCTTTCTTTACCCTTTGAATGTCTCTTTTCTGACTGGCATACATAGTTTGTACTCCAGCTTTTATTCCAGAAAGTTCCATGACCCTGTGCTTAGCTTTTGCACCAGAGCAGAAATGCAATGTTGCAGAGATTGCTGCCATTTCTACACGCTTTCTTCTGAACCACTTAATAATAATAATAATAATAATAATAATAATAATGGCATTTCAGGCAGTATATCCACAGGGTGGCTCTTCGCCTGCCCGATGCTAACTAAATT